GTAGGCTTTGGATATTCCCATGTGGAAGTGGGAACAGATTACCATGGATTTTATCACCAAGCTACCGAATACTGCCAAGGCTTTTGATGCTATATGGGTCATCGTGGATCGATTAACCAAGAGTGCCCACTTGTTGGCCATCCCGGAGAGCTCCTCGTCCGAAAAGTTGGCCGATGTGTATGTTCGGGAGATTGTTGCTCGTCATGGGGTTCCAGTCTCCATTGTATCAGCCCGAGATGTTCGGTTCACTTCCAGATTCTGGCAGAAGTTCCATGAGGAATTGGGTACGAGGCTACATTTCAGCACTGCATATCATCCGCAGACCGACGGCCAGAGTGAGTGGACCATTCAGAAACTTGAGGGGATGTTGTGGGCTTGTGTCATATATTTCAGTGGGAGTTGGGATTCCTACCTACAACTTGTGGAGTTTACCTACAACAACAAGTATCACTCTAGCATTGGTGCCCCACCTTTTGAGCTCTTGTATGGTCGGAGATGTCGTACCCCATTTTGTTGGGGGGAGGTTGGTCACAGAGTCATGGGAAGGACTAAGGTAGTCCTTCAGACCACGGAGCTTATTCAGCAGATTAGACAGAGACTACAGACAGCTCAGAGTCGGTAGAAAAGTTATGCCGACCGACGCCGATCAGAGTTGGAATTTCAAGTCGACGATATGGTACTACTGAAGGTCTCACCCTGGAAGGGTGTGATAGGCTTCAGGAAGAGGGGAAAATTGGGTCCCCGATATATTGGAACGTTCCGTGTGATCGCTAGGGTATGCATAGTAGCCTACCGGTTGGAATTGTCGAGGGTGCTCGACCAGATTCACAACACTTTCCATGTTTCACAGTTGCGGAAGTGCGTGTTGGATGATGAGGCAGTGGCCCCTTTGGATGATATTCAGGTCGATGAGCGACTGAATTATGTTGAGAGGCCGGTAGCGATAATGGAGATAAAGATGAAGGTTTTTCGCAACAAGGAGATACCTTTGGTAAAGGTTCATTGGCAACATCGGAAAGGCTTCGAGTGGACCTGGGAGCTAGAGGCGGAGATGCGAGAGCATTATCCTGAGTTATTTGTCGTAGCCGACTTCGAGGACGAAGTCTAGTTCAAGTAGGGGAGAATTGTAACATCCCGATGTTAAGGTATTTTCAATTTTAGCCCTAAGTATGAAAAAATATTTCATTTTGACCATTGGGTTTGAAAAGGATTGCAAGAATGGCCCGGAGTGGCATTTTGGTAATTTGGCCACGAGGTTAGTACGTTGAGCGTACGTTGTGTACACTAGGCATACTCGGGTGAACCCTAGTACGCTCGATGTACACCGCGTACGTGGTTAACCTTCAAACCCTAATTTTTAGGGTGTTGTCCATATATAAGCATCATTATCCCTCATTTCTCATTCCCTCACCAGCCTCCATCTGAGAAAAACAACCCCAAGCTAACCCTAAGTGAGAAGAGTGGATTTTGAGCTCATTTTTATGCTTTGGTAGTGTTCTTGAAGAAGAAGAAGTTGGTTCAAGGACTTGGAGCTTGGGGAGAAGCTTGGATTTGGGATTCTTCACTTGTTAGCTACCTCCAAAAGGTAAAAAAGCTCCTTTCTTAATCACCTTATCTTGTAGATCTAGCCATTTCTTCATTCATGGCACTTTTGGTCCCAAATGTGGTGATTTATGAGCATGGCATGCTCTTAACCAAATAAGTCGTTCTTTCAGACCTTATGAGGGGTCTCGAGTCATAAAAATGTGGGTTTGATGCTTAGTTTTGCTCCATGCATTCTATAGAAGGTCTTAAGGCATTAAGATGTTGAGATTTTGTGTATTAAGCACTTAATGGACATGCAAAGTCATAAAGTTGGAAACTTTATGACTCTTAGTGGTATTTTGGCCTTGTATCTGAAAGTTGGACGTGAGAGCTTAATGCATTAAGCTCTTATTGAGGAAATGGGGTTCTGAGCGTACGTCGTGCGTACCTCAGCGTACGTCACGCGTACGTGGTCAATTTCCAGACTCCGGTCAAGGCTCGAGTACGCCCAGGGTAGGAGTTGAGTACGCTCCGCGTACTCGGCTGAGTGGACCAAGTTGACTCCTTGACCTGTTGACTTTGACTTTGAATTTAACCAGAGTTGACCAAGTTTGACTTAAGGGTATTTTGGGTTGGTCTTTATCTGTTGAATATGTGACATGGGGAGCCGATATTTGGAGCAGTGTATTGTTCAGCTTTCGTCAGACTACGAGGTGATTTTTCCTCACTGTACTTATGGGTCGAAGACAACAAGGTCGGACCATTGGATTAGATATCCTGATTTGTTGTATGCTGTTATGCGGAGTTATGTGGTACTGGTTATGTGATTAGACTGGTAGATCTGTAGGACTAACCATTGTTATATGTTATTGATTGATAATGTTATTCATTGATATGTTATGGTTTACTGGGTTGAGGTGGAACAGTGGATAGACTGAAGGCCAAGATACCCAAGGCGGACCAGTCAGGCCGAAGGCCCAGAAAGTGGTCCATATAGGTTGTAGGCACGGTGAGGCGGTCCAGTCATATTGAATGCTCTGTATGCATGTTGTTGTTTGTTATGTTTATGTGGTGGTACCTTGGGGGAACTCACTAAGCGTTAGCTTACAATTTTAGTTTTGTTTCAGGTACTTCTGAGGGCCGTGGCAAGGAGAAGGTGTGACCGTACATAACATTGGTTTTTATGTTATTGATCTTGGGAGACTTGATTTTGAATAATGTTTTTGGAAACAATGGTTATGTAAACACTTCTTTTTAGTAAATGGGTTGTTTTGGAAAGTTCAAATTTGTTGTGACTTTTGAGATGTTACAAGCATTAGAGGAGGTGGAGGTTCAAGAGGCAGTAGATGAGGTGGAGGTTTAAGAGGCAGTAGAGGAGGTGGAAGTTCAAGAGGCAGTAGAGGAGGTACAAGTTCAAGAGGCAGTAGAAGAGGTGCAAGTTCCAGAGTTCCCAATAGTACCACACTTTTCTGACTTGTTGAAGAGGATGAGAAAAAGAAAGTCAGATAGAATCTTACAGTTGAAGTTGGGTAAAAGAGTTGGTAATGATGGTGATCCAAGAATTCAAAGGAAAAAGCTCTTAATATATAGTAAAATAGTGTTTGGTAATGTGGTCATAGTTTATTGTCTTTATGAAACTCGGTTGTTTTTCATTTAAGAAAGTTTGTTGTCTAAATTGGAATGTTTGTATGAAAGATGTTTTATTGTAGGATAATGGTCTTTATCATGTAACAAAGTACGTTGCCTAAATTGGAATGTTTTAGTTTTTTTCTATGAAAGTTGTTTTAATTTACTTCCAATGAATTTATCATGTTAGACACTTGGTTTCCTAATTTATTGCATGTATGCATACAAATGGGCAATGTGGTACATTAACAATATTTGTGCATGATGTAGATGCACCAAAACAATGTGGTCCCATTAGTTTAATAATTATTCACTTTCTGCACATTAAAAGGGAACATAGTGGTCCACTCTTGCATATTCCATGTACTGATACACATTTCACAAACAAAATAAGTTTAATAATACAAAACTAGTCATTATAATAAGGTCAAGACAACTTTCCAAGTACAATTTCCATTAACTTACATAGAGGAGTATCTTACAAACTGATTTCTAGGACCAAAACACTACCCAATCATCCACAAGCTTACATTGAACCCACTGCCATAATCTAACAAAATACATGCATATTGGTTGGAATTATACATCAATCGTACAAAAGACATGCATCTTGGTTGGAATTTTTACATCAACCATACAAAAGACTTAAAAGTTATGTCATCACTTCCATAACTTTATGACACACCAAACCAACCCTACAAACAAGCAGATACAAAGCAACATAGTCCACATCAAACACCTCTTCAGCCTTGCAATCCTAGCTTCATGCTTAGCCACCAACCTTTCCAGTTGAACTACTCTTTTGTCGTTCTTGGCCTTGACAAGCAAACACTGTAACAAATCCAATTTCTATTCCATGCCATACAACTTCTCCTTGTAGTATCATGGTTGTAGCCAATCATCTATCCAATGGAAGAATCTACAACTCCTCCTTTCAATCATCTATCCAAGTCAAAAAGCAAAATAATAATCAAAAATCTAAAATCGAGCATGAAAATTCAAACATCAAAGAAATTTAACAAATTTCAGCTCAAAAGATCACAGATCAAACATCGCAAGTCACCAAACATCATTGATCAAGATTTCAGCTAACCTAAACATCGTAAATTAAAATCATACATGACATTTACCAAAACCGAAGCTAGCTTTTATCACATTCTAAAGAAATAAACAAATATTGCTCAAATCGGAGATTACCAGTGAGTTGGGACAGTTCAAAAAGCAGCGTGCATGGTTTTTTTTGCCATCTACAATGTCCTTTTAAGTACTTCCAAGCCACAGTAACAATTCTGCACTTCGTCCTCGTTACCAAAGTGAGGAATGACCAAGTTGTAGGAAGAAGACGACGACATTGTGCAAGAATGGTTTTGAGAGCTGTTAGGGTTTTTGGGATTTCGAATACGGGAATAAAGGTGAAGAAAGTGTGCCGATTAAGGGTTTCAATTAATAACCCCTAATGTCGTGTCTTACACGAGGGATGAAGCTTCCAGGCCAGCCTTGCCAACGAAGCGTCGAAACCAACTGAACCTTTAAAATTGAGGATAAATGTGTAATTAACATGTAATTTGAAAGTTGAAGGACTAATTGCACAAAAAAATAACTTGAGTGACCAATCTGGGACAAAGCCAAAAGTTTGTTGTGCTACAGTGTCAATTTCCCGTAAATTTACTTTATAAATTAATATACATACTATTACCAACAAAATTAATTAGAAAATATTTGTAAAATTTAATCATAAAATATGTTTATATGCTATACCTTGAAAAAATATACCCATTTATAAAAGTAAAAATTGTTTTGAATTTAGATGATTTTTGAACTATCCCACCAATAAAGTTATGCGGAGTGGGCTATGCCAGCAAAGCTGAGTCAGCTCGACAAATACTACGCCTGTAGCTCGGCATGTTGAGCTCGGTGTTTAAGGCGGCAATTGCTTGAAGATGAGAGAGAAAGTCTCTCTTCTCCCACGAGCCACTCTTTCTTTTCCTCTCTTCTTCCCGACTCCCTAACCATGACAAAAGTTTTATACATTCTTGGTGGGTTGAGATAGAGTTGAGGTGGAGCTCAGTGAGCTCAACACAAGTGGAGTGAGCCTAATAACCAAGTTTAACAATTGTTATACCTATGAACCTAGCTTTTTTAAGAGGTGTAACCATGGGAGTTAAAAAATTGTTTCATTCTTATGGATTTTGCATGGTTTTCCCTTTGTTTTACTCGTTACCGATTCAATTGGTAAACATATACATACATGTATTTTACATTTTTTTTAAGATGGCATGAAAAATATTATTCAAAACCCCAATACAAGGACACTATAGGAGTATACTATTCAACTCTTCGTCTCTTCTCTTCGAATAATTGTCTCATACAACAAAAAAAAGACACCAAAATGTTGCCTAAAGAGTTGGTAGCTTGGTGCACATACAAGTGTGATTGATGGAATCTAAATGTGATGCTCATATTTGGAATAAATGCATTGAAACCGTTTGTTGGTTAAGTTTATCAGTTTCACTTAATTCGTAATTTTATGACATTTGTAGCTGTCACTTGACACAAACTTATGTGAAACACAAGTTGGTCAACAAATCCAATGTGTTGAATTGAAGAGGAACATGTGTGTGGTCAAGAAAGCCAACATGATGATGATGAAGCTCATATTGAAACAAGTGCATTAAAACTATTTATTGGTCAGGTTGGTCACTTTCAAACATTAGCGAACAATTTATTTTTTTATTTTTTATTTTTTATAAAACACATATGAACTAGAAATTTGATGAAGTTCAATTTGGTCAAGAAACCCAAAAATTTGAGAAACATATTGGGGTTGTGATGGCAACCAAAATGTTGAAGCTCATAAGAGCAATCACACACTTCTTTGATGATCAAAACTTATAACTTCCTATAAAAAAAAAGTTATAGCTGCATTATAACAGTAATTGACAAATATAAATACTGTAGTAGTTCCTGAATATATCATCACCATTAATCTAAAACCCTTGATGAATGATGAACATTATTTACAAAGAACGTGAGGCACCATATGTCCTTATCATATAGGTCTATAACAATGAAATGAAAGTAACAGCATCTTATTTCAACATCTAAGGGATTCCCTCATGAATTCACATTCCACATAATCAGAACTTGAAGTTTATGAATGAAATCCCATTAATCTGGTTGTGCTTCTACAAGTCATGAAAGAGCCTCCTAATATGGTCCACAGATGCAGGAACCAATGTAACCGGGCAGTGGTTATACTATTAATTAACACAGAGAACAAAATTTTAGTTGACCTTTGACCCAATTGATTAGTCAAACATAGTTTAATACAATAGTCAAAAGGATTCATATTTCATACCTGTGAAACATACTTGAATACACAAGCATAGCAAAACACAAACCCAGAAACCGTAATTGCTGATGGATTTGCACGCTTCTGTGAACACAGAGGACATAATGTCCGGTCAGCTGCCAGTGGGATACCCTCCTTCGCCACCTGTGTTACACTTACACATAATATATATATATAATTTTATACAACTATGCATATAATCTTAAGTTATATAAATTTGTTGAATGAATGAATGAATGAGATATTAGGGTACCTTAGGTGGGGGAGGAGGAGGTGGTGGAGGATACACAGTAGGAGCCAACATTCTCTCCTCAGCAGATTGGTACCACCATTCCATCATCTATAAAGTATAAACACCACAATACATCATCTTCTAAAAATTTCACTTTTATATAAACTCATTTAGAGATTAAATAAAAAAAAGTAACCTTAAAACCAAATACTGCAGCTATGAGACCAGTTTGTGCATAGTCAAGAACTGCATAACCACAACTCAGCAATACTCCTTGTACTGCCTGAAATTCAAATTCAAATTCAAATTTGTTTGTAGCAAAATGTAAAATGTGTCTTTAATTTATATATTCAAGTATTATTATTATTATTATTATTATTATATATACCTTTACCCAAGGAGGCCCACAAAGTCTTTCACGTTCATTACTTCTTATTTTGGAAATTCTTGAAGATGTATCCATCTACCTTGACATGAAAAGTCAACTAAGTCAAAGTAGTTAAGCATCATAAAGTTAGGGGAGTCTGAAAAATCAAAATGTATACCAGTTCTTGTCCTGTAGCTCTACAAACATGGAGTCCAAGTGCATGTAATCCCGGGGAGTAGAATCCAGTAGCATCCAATAGGTATAACAACTGGTAAGCAAATGCTAATCCTACACCATTACAATTTACAAATTTATGTATTATAAACCCATTCATAACTCATAACTCATAACAATATCTTAATTACCTTCACTTCCAGCATGGACCCAAGGGTAACAAGTGGCAACAATCTTATGCATTCTTTTCCTGAATTGTGTTCTCACTGACAACTCTGTATGTGTATCCAGACTGCTGGTTGAAGCAAATGAAGTGTCCATGTCACCTAAATTCTCAATTTGATCAAATGTTTCATTGACATTTCCCCAGAGACTGGCTTGAAGTGCAGCTTCTCTTTCTTTATTGTAGATTGAATGCAACTTTGACTTGAGATATGGCAACACAACCAGAAACACAACTGAGAGAAGCTTTTGATGCTTTCTTATTCCAGAATGCTGACTTCTGTTTCCTGTTTCTATACGAAGGTCCTCCTTTTTCATGTGGATATTAACTGCTCTCCTTCTTAGGCCATATAAAGACTCTGCAAATGAAGCATCTGGAGAACACAATAGCACCACATGAACATACTGAAATTGAAATATAACAACAACAAAAGTATATGAAAGAACGATGATTTCCTTTCCAATCAAACATTTATGATGAACCTACTTTCAAAGATGGATTTGCTTACTTTTAGCAGGTTGCTTCAGACTATAGACAGCCCCCTAAAGCCTAAACACTTGTTATAAACTAACATTTCTATGACTGGCTATCCTGCTCCTAAATTGACTCTCCATGATCAATTCATGTAGCACATTTTAACTAAAAGAGAAGTTCATTCTCCTGGTAAGGTCGTGAAATAGTTCATCAATGTTTTTTTCACTGAAAACTATGAACATACTCAAATGAGATTGGTGAAATTTATCCAACCAATGGATAGAGGGTTCAATTTGGTTGCAGTACTACGAGTGCAATAAAAACGCATAGCAAAATATCTAATCAATCTACTAATATACACACGATTAAGAAGAGGAAGTGCGAGATCTACCTGTGGTTCGTAAACTATGGGTTTCTAGAATGAGAGTAAGGGCAGCAAAGAACTCGTCTTCATAATCCAAGACTTTATGGAGGAAAGGCCTTCTTAGCGCTAAAACCTGATATCATTCCATTTGATTCAAAAAATGAACAAACACACAAGATGAAATCTAGAATTGAAATGACGAATGAATACAATTATGGAATAAGTAGAAGGAGCATACACCGATGGAGTAGGTAAGAGCAGCCCGTAGACTGGAGGGAAGCTGTTGGGCAGCGGACATCTCGAAGAAGGTGGGACGACTACCTTGACCTCCCACCTGGAACAACATCTCTCTCCCTGTGTGTACTTGGGAGCCTGCTTGGCGCTTGCTTTTGCTTTTGGTGGTTTTGTGGGGAAGATGAATTTTGGTTGAATCCTTGATTCCTTTCTCTTTTCTCTTGCACCTCTATTATCCCGCAAGCTAAATCGCCTTTCACTCTTTATTTCATTAATTTTTTTTTTAGAGAAAATTACATGAATGGTCCATTGATTTGGGGTAACTTGCTTGTCCAGTCCCTAACTCTATATTTTTAACTCAGACTATCATTCCTTTATAAGCTTGTTGCACGCTTGGTTCCTCCGTCCTGTGCTATTAAATGTCAATGTTAAAACACCCCATGTGCAAGGCATGTACGGGTATTCTTGTCCTTTTCTTTTAAGAGAGTGTTTGCGTCATTTTTTTGAAGCCCAAGCGACCAAGGGTTTACGAAGGCAAGACATACTTATCGAAGAATTTTTCTTTAGCACCTTTTAAAGAAGAGTTTGAGAGATTGTGAAATAGATCCACATCTTGACAACCTAGTTTTCCACGGGTTACACTCTACCAGAGGTTAATGAGAATGAAATGAAAGATAAGCTTTTGGAGAGTGACTCCTGACTAAATCAAAGAAATGGGGATGTGGTTTTGGTGACAAAAAAACATGTTGTTGATATCTCTTTACCTCCTCGACAGAGGTTGTCATTGATGTTATTTGTACCCTTTAGCAAGAGGATAAGGGGTTGATCTCGATTAGAAGGACCTTGGGGATAAGAACTCTCAATGGGCCAGGAGCTCCGGTTAAAAAGCCACATAAATGTATTTGGCTTTCGGAAATGTTAGAAGAGTTGTTGTTGTTGATCAGACGATGAGTTACTTTATAGATGGTTGTATGAAAAATATGGAGGAGATCATTAAGTCTCATGGAGTATTGGAAGTTTGCAAATGAATTTTCTTTCTCTTAATGTTCAAGGTCTTAGTCAAAACGAGAAGAAAGTTTGGGTAGTCTTCAAAACAATTGACTTTATCATACAAAAAAGCTTTCAAATGAATTTTCTCCTGGATCCATGGATGTAGTCTTCAAAAGAATTAGTTTTATCATACAAAAAGGTTTAGAGACGCGGTTTGTTATCCGTTTGTCTTCTCACTCATTGTAAACGTGATCACTAATTAATTATGAAATATTTTTTTTTTCTTTAGCTTGGGTTAAGGATTTATGCTTAAAGCATAAGGTGAACTTTTTTTATTTTATAGGAAACAAAAATGGATCATATGGATTTATCTTCTGTAAGATCCTTATGGGGTAACCTTCACTTTAATTATGTTTGTAGTCTCTCATTCGGGAATTCAGGGTGAATTTTGTCTGTTTGGGATCTTTCTCTGTTTGCTAAAAATAACGTTTCGTGCTTTGATTATTTTTTGCTTGTTGAGGGTATTTAGAGACCAACAAATATAGATTTATCTGTTATTCCTAATTCGTGGGTTTCAAGTTTGGCTCATTATATAAATCATTGATATGATTGATGACGCAATATCAATCACAGTGAGTCGAGAATAACTCTCGCTAAGAGTCATAAGTCAATGGTTCCATATCAAAGACAAATGGAATGTGCGACTTGATATTGGTAATTCTGAAAGCCTAGTGCAGTCGAAGAGGTTGATCGCCTGCCATAGAGGATAAGGTTTGGCAGTGAGAGACCCTGGTACCATGATAATTACTAAAATTCTTGATTATTTTCATTCCAAATATTTATTTACACATATAAATACAATAAACGTTGGGCCATGAACCACTTATACAAGTGGGCTAACACTAGTAACATTCACAACAAAGCACAATCACAACTATCTTTATTAACAGGTTTTACCTTTAATTTGTAATTGTCTTCATGTAGTAAAAGCAAACCACCCAAACGATATAGGGTTCTATTCAAATGCATAACAAACCAATATATTCAGCTAGCCTACCATGAATGCTTCCAAGTTCCAACAATCACCCCTTCATGTTACGATCATGGTTGGATCATAATAGTGCAAAATTAAATAGTAACCACCAACCCATCATAAACATTGCAAAAAAAAGAAAAAAAAAAAAACAATGGGATCCAACAAAGTTGTCTTATTTTTATCACTTTCTTTAAAACAAACAAAAGCCATTCATCCATCCCACTAATACTCTCCTTCAATCACATCTACCTTTTAATGTTTTGATGTCTGTGATTAGATGCATTAGTATTGGTATCAAGTATCAGGTATCAAGTATCATCACCCTGTTAATCTATTTTTTTATTGTTCTATCTCTCAGCCTACATCCGGCTTCAGTTATCATCTACCCAAAACAATACCAATACAATAAAACATCATGCTATGAATTCATAGCAACAAAATCTCAAAATCAGTTTAACTGGAATTTCTCCACACAATCTAATCAAGATTGAAGGTAAAATGTATATATACTTTAATTCACTTCTTGCATACCATTTGGCCTTCAACAACAAAATTACGCCTTTACCCTCGAAGATTCACCAACAACATTCTCCATTCTTGCATACCACTCCCCAATCCTCGTGTGCTCCACCATATCTTTACCTGATGTTAGATACCGAATAGGCCTCAGCACCCCAAACACCGCCAGGTCAGCCAAATTAGGCTTCAAGCCACCTGTCACAATCACAATAATAATAGATACAAACATTAATACTCATACAACAAAACTGAGAGAGATAAAATAACAATATAATTAAGGGTCATATGAAATATGTTTACCTAAAAAGTCCCTGCCATCAAGTGCATCAACCCAAGTTTCACAAGCTTCATATAAAGCTGTCCTTTCATCAGTGATATTATATTTTTTCTTAAGTTTCTTGGACACAAAGTACATAGCAGCAGCCCCCGCGTATTTTACTGTGTATTTCTCAGTATAGCTGAAATTACCTGCAGAAAAATGGATACATTTTTTACTCAGAATATCAGTAATAATTATTTATTACAAAATATTGATAATCCTGGCTTACCATTGCTAGTGATATAGTTGAAAGATTCAAGAGCTTCAGAAGTGTTTCGGTATATATTTGGTGATAACATATGCACCAAATGATCATCAACCCACCTACATATACATTATACATATACATATATTACATAAAATCTTGTCACAAAAATATTAGTTAAAACATAAAATGTTTAACATGATTATCGACATACCGACGCCATTTCTTTTCTTCTTCATCATCATTGACCACTGAAGTAGATTTCACAGGACTGAGCTTGGTTCTCATCTGATCAATAATGGCTGCAATTAAAAACAAAGACATCAATTTTTGTAATGGAATGTAAAAAAGAAAAGGGATGCTTCATGCTTCTAGTTTGTATGATTATATCACCATTGATTGAGATAAAAAGAAAGAAAAAGAGAATGATGAAGGAAGAAAGGAAAACCTGATGAATCTTGTAGTGGTTGACCATCGACCATGAGTATAGGCACCTTCTTGTAATCAGACCATTTGATTTCTTTCTTGCTAAGTGGATTCACCTCCACAACTTTGTATGGCACATCATAGTAATCCAAAAATGCTGAAAAACCAACAAATAACAAAACTAAATATATCATAAACTGCTTAAACCAAGAATAGTTAGGTAACTGTACTACATCACCTCCATAATAATTATTAATTGGAATAATATAACCACAATAAGTTTTCCCAAACTGATTATTATTGCAACTTCAAATACAAATAAACATTTTAATGCACATCAAACTGATGCTTGTATATGTAACGGGATTTGACCACTCAATGAATGGTCAAATCCCATTAATTTGAGGTACTATCAAATAAGAATATAAGCCAAGATGTTAAAAAAAAAAAAAAAAAAAAAAAAAAAAAAAAAAAAAGCAATTTGGACTCATTGTGGGCACTATGAGTTCCTTGTGATACCTTTTAGCATCATTAATTTAATGCTACTTCCACCTTCCAAATCTAATGAAGGTCATCTTTAAACCATTTCTAAGGAAGTTTTAATCGGTATCTTTTGATGACATCTTAATATACAGCTGTGATTAGTTAGTTACCTCACAGTTGTGTTTGAGTTATTGAGTAATTTGCTAAGCTCAGCAAATGTGCCTAGGGGGTGTCACAAGTCACAGCCTGTACTCGCATTAGTGCATTACCTAATTTTACCTCATCGTTCACAATATAAGCTTAGCCGATGCATAAGGGAAAAGAATCGGATCATTTCTAATGCAGAAGGGGAATTTTAGTGCATTCATCAGCAAGGAGTTATCATGAAATTTATCTTAGTACACTACACTTATGAAAGAGAGTTGTTGGTCATTTGTACATGCGGTTCTGAAATTGAGTAAGGGGGTGTTTGGGAGTGCTTTTTGAACTCTAAAAATGCTTTTAGATAGAAGTGCTTATTTGCTTATAGTGGTGGTAAAAGGAGTTTTTTAAAAAGTGTTTGAATAAGCTTTTATAGTGAAAAAGCCAATAAGTCAATAAGTTAAAAAGTGTTTGGCTTAAAAAATGCTTTTTGAAGTTATTTTGGTTGAAAAGCCATAAGCAGTTTCAAAAAGCCACGTTTTACATGCTTATTAAAAAGTGCTTTTTGAAGCTTATGGAAAAGCTATTCTGAAAAGTGCTTTTGAGTTTGCCAAACACTTCTTTTGACTTATTAGCTTTTCAAAAAACCAATAAGCACTTTTCAAACGCAATCCCAAAAAACCCCTAAGTACATTTGGATGGACATTTTGTTATTAAAAGAGCTTAAAGTATCTTTTGGATAAATAAGCTATCAACTTACTCCCTTTCAGCTGAAATGGTTATCTAAGCACACGTTTTGGATAACATATTCAAACTCCATACGGGTTTTCAGATCCAATAGTCTAAGTTAAAGACAACGTATTCCTTAGCCCTTTTTGGAAAGACTTGTTGGCCCTTCATGGCATAGATTATAAATCATCCAATTCATATCAACCTCATACTGATGAACAGTCAGAAGAAGTGCTTAAGAGATAAAGGATTCTTAACGCTAAGATGCATGTGTTGCTCAAAAGTCAAAAACCTTCCTATCACATTGCTACAAAGCACACTCCATCCAAAGTTATCTCTGGCCAAAAACCCCCCCAACTCATCTGCCATATCTTCCTAGTGAAAGCAAGGTAGAAGCATGTGATACAAGTTCGATTGCTGAAGTAAGTTATCCAATTAATAAAGCCCAAAACACAATCAACCAGAATGCATACAAGCATAAACCAACATATGATGTATTGATGTTTGAAGTGGGAGATTGGGTATAAGCAATCTCTTGTGGAGTTAAATCAAACCAAAAACTAGCAGCTATAAATCATGGATTTTATCTTATAATAGCCAAAGTTGGATCGGTTGCCTTTGACTACACATTGTACCTTCCTCCTAAACCTAAAGCTTCAATATGCCAATTTTTCATGTCTCTTTTCTTCAAGAAACAATGGACCTCTGCCTACACCTAATGATTTACCCACTAATTCACTTATGCCAGATAAACTCCTTATTGTTTGCAGTTTTGCTCATGTGGAAGGAATGATTAATCAAATTGAGAACAAGGATCAACTCAAGTTGGCATCAACTTAAGGAAGGAGTACTGATCATGTAAACTTGTTAATCTCTTATTTTTGTCACTTCTATTAGTGTATGTATATGTATGATCCCTATATAGGCTTCTTATGTAACAAATCCAGGTGATGCCTCTCACAAATAATTTTAAAGTGCAAGCAACTACGCAGGTCTGTGAATTGCTTATGGGGATGAAGAAAGTGATTTTTTTCTCTCCATGAGCTAATTCTTCATCTTAGCTTTTATGGTTGATCTGGTTATTGATCAACCAATGAGATTTACCTTAACCACAAATCAAAGTGAGGCTGTAACAGCCATTTATCATTCTTTGAAGTATTAACCATCCCAAATCATCATAAATAAGTTCAAACAAGCCTAAAAGTTTTCTAAAACAGACATGAAAGATACCAAAGTAGTTATTAGGGCACGTTAGTATTAATTACAACATTCCCTCTTCGGGAACTTCTAGTCTGCCCTGTACTCGATGTAAATCTGGGTGATAGAATGAAAGTCTTACCTTTGACCTTGTTACAGAAAGGGCAAGATTCGTATTGGTAGAGCACGACCTCCTTTGGAACTAGATCAGGGCTGATGGGTTCCTTGGCATACGCCTCTTCTTCCACAAATACTGATGAAGACCCAGCAGCGACGGACGCGGCAACACAGCCCAAGGACAGAAAAACTTTAGCAGCAGTCGAAGAATAACCGCCTTGGGACGTAGATCCCACGGATGAAGAAAACCACCGGCGAGAAGAGCCGGTATTGGCGGCGTAAAAGGATGCTGCCTGAAAAAGCTTGTTATATTCGTGGTGGTGTTCTGAGGAAGCAAGGATGGCCCGGGATAGGGAAGTGGAAGCGGCAGCGAGTGTAGAAACTCTTCTCATCGTTTCGGGTGGTTGGATATGAGGGAGGCGGCGTGTATTGTACGGTGGCCGGCGGTAGGGGAAGTGAAATATTTGATGGGGGTTTAGAGCCCGTGGTGGGAATACGATGTACCTGGTAGATTCGCGACCATGTGTTGTATACGCATTAAAGTGGACCAACCTTTTTTACATGTTTTAAGTTTTAAAATGTTATTAAAATTTCAAAAAAGAAAAAGGTTCATAAAATTACAACGAGCCATAAGGAAAACGCTCACCCTTTTATTAAAATAGAAATAAATGTTATTACATATATTTTAATTGAAAAAATGCGACAGATTAATTTTTATTTTTATTTGTTAATTTATTTTGTTTTTTTATTGCCATCGATTTTGCTCCATCTATATCAATTTTGCCCAAATTTAACCAACTTTGATCATGGCCGATTTATTTTAGTCACTGAATGGTCATCAACCGTCTAGACGCCCTTAACCGTTTAAAGCGATTTATTTTATACAACAATGAAAATTATATATAATTACATTTCAACATTTCCACTTTTAATTTGGACTACCATTTTATAACATTTTACTCATGATTAATCTACATAACAAGAAGTGGTTATTAAATGTGACAAAATGGGTTAGTTGAATGGACGGGAAAATGTTTCTAAAACAATTAGAATTTGAATTGGAAATGAATATGTCGGGAATTTGAATCCAATTACACATATTATTTGGCAATAAATGAAATTGTAATCTATGTAAAATGATAGAATATCTGTTTTGCTTAAATTTTCCTTTTCTATCTTACATGTAAAGATAAATTAAATAAACTATAAAAATAGTAAATTTTCTTTTTATTGATTGAGCATTCATGTCAGTGGTGGTGATGGGTGGTAGTGGTGGTGATGGTGATGGTGGGTGGTAATGGTAGTGGTGGTGGCGGTGGAGGGTAAGCGATGGCAGGTAGTGGTGCTGGGGGAGGTGGTGGTCGCGGTGATGGTATCGATGGTAGGTGGTAGGTGGTAGGTGGTGGTAGTGGTGGTGGCGGTGGTCGTATGTGAGTGATGGTGGTGGTGGTGGTGGTGGTAGGTGATGGTGGTGAAGGTGGTGGTGGCAACGGTGGTGGGTGGTGGTGGCGGTGGCGGTGGCGGTGGCGAAGGTGGTGATGGTAGGTGATGGTGGCAGTGATGGTGGGTGATTGTAACGTCCGGGTTTCGGGGCTAAACATTTTCGACAATGTAATAGTCTAGGTCAACTATTGTAACTCTTTTTGAAGTAATAAAGATGAAATATTTGAGTATTATGTGAATTATGTGTATTTGTGTGCTTATTACTTATTTATAAATGTGTAATAAATAAATGATAAAAATAAGCGTCAAAATTAAAGTGTGAGATAAACCCGATATCTTTACATAAAGTTGTAGTAGTCGAAACAAGGATTTCGGGGATATAAAGAACGCCGAAATCCGAGTTATAACGAAGAAGTTATGACCCGTCGAAGTTTCGCGACAGAACCGGCACGATACCGGGAAGCGTAAATAGTGAATTTACGATAGAGCGAGTTTTAGCCTTAGAGATCTAAACGAAAGTCGTAGAATATGTTAAACCGAGAGCGTCCATAAAAAGAACGCCCAAATCTGACTTCGTATGAGGAAGTTATGATTTTTCGAAGTTTCGGCTTAGCAGTGTACAGCCTGAAGTTCGAATATTAGATCGAGCGGTTTTTAGCCGACGCAACCTAAACGAGAATCGAAGATCTCGTTAATAATAGCGTGACGGTAAAAAGACAGACGAAAACGGACATCGGATGAAGATGTTATGAATTTTAACGGACCAATCCTGTCCCGGCCTGTTAAAAATATAACTTTTAAAATAAAGTCAAAATTAGCCGACGGAGTCTAAACGAAAGTTGTAGAGTACGTTCCCGCCTTCGCGTGGATATAAATAACGTCGAAAACGGAGCTCGTATGAGGAAGATACGGATTTTTGAAGTTGAGTGTGCAAATTGCGAGACCTAATGCGAGATAGGCGACGTGGCAGCATCTGGGCCGCCCATTGCTGATCAGGGGATCACTTCGGATTGCGACACCTCACCTTCGCTACGCCCCGCGTCCGAGGCTAGGTACGCCCAGCGTACCTCCGGTCTTATCCCTTCCGAGTGCGAGACAGCTGGAGTCCATCTGGCAGCCTTATCCGATGAACGCCTCGCGTAGAGCGAACCTACGCCCAGCGTAGTGCGAAGCCTCGCACCTATAAATAGGGGTGCGAGGGCAGCCGGTTTCTCACACCAAAAATCAACTCTTTCTCTCACTACTTTCTCTCTCTAGCATATCCTAACCCCCCCCTAAGCCTAGGTAAACCCCCTAGCACCCGAAGGATGCCCCGAGGCTCCCGGAGTCTCGAGAAAAAGGGTCTTTCGGTTTAGAAACGCTGCTCCAAGCGAAGCCCGGTTTTTAACAAAACCCGATGTAAGTGAGCTACGCCTACGCTATTTTTAATATAGCTTTTATTTAATTATAGTAATGTTATTAGGTCCTTAAAATAATTATTTGGGCTATTATTATGAGTTATATAGAGTGTTGTTTAACGCTTATATAATAATAATAATAATAATAATAATAACTAGACTATTAATTAGTCGCGGTTAACGTTATACTAAACCGTAGTGGTATTGATACTAGGTTTTGTCGAGGGAAAATTATTTTGAGATAACGAAGCGTTATTCAAGTGCAGAGTCACCACCTTTCAGGTGAGTGCATAGTCTCTTTCATCTTACACATAGATATGAAGTATTTATTATAAACTACGTGCTATGTGTGCATATTATCTGAATACTTGCTGTCTATGTTGATGAAAGATTTTTATACATGTTTTAAATGATTTAAACTGTATATGTATTTTATATCTACAAAAATGTTGGGGTAAAACATGGGTAGATGTAATAAGACGATGTGTGATAAAATGATGAGAGGTCTCGATGTTGTTGGTGATCCAGTCATCTAGCGGAGTATAGATGACGACCACGGACTCTTCTAGATAGTCCAGTGGAACGCTAGCAGGCTCGTAACCTGTAGGTGTTTGTGAACGATGTGTTCACCGGTGTACTCCATCCCCCTCATTATTGCCTTTAGGACATTTATTGCTGAGGAACCACCTTAGCAGTAGTGTCCATCCCGATAATGATCCTTAGGCTAGGTCCCTTATGATAGGTGTTTAGGGACGTAAAGTGAGGATAACGGGAACGGGTAATCGGGTTATTGTTGATTGATGAAATTAATAAACTTATTTATTGTGGGTTGAAAACCATATGTGCTCACCAGGCTCCCAAGCCTGACCCACTCAGTTTCATGTATTACAGGTAGTGGCGCTCGAGCATAGATGTGATGTTTTGGATGAGGGATTACGGATATAGGCCTGTAGATATGAAATAATGTAGTAAGGCTTATATTGTACTATTTATGCTTTTGATCTGTATCGAAGATGACATCCCGAGTCTTTTAATGAAATACATTCCTTTGGAAATGCTTTTGATAAATCTTTATCATATTTTGTTTTGGGACAAATTCCGCAACACTTTTATTTAAAATGTTACTCTGATTTTCAAACAAGTATAAACAAAATCGGTCTTTTCTGGCCGTGAAAATGGGGATGTCACAGTTGGTATCAGAGCATTAGTTTAAGCGAACTAGGAATTTGTAGGATTTCTAGACTTAAACTTAGAATACTAAGCGATGATTGTGAGGTGTGAGCACTAGCTTATTTTAGGAATTATGCCTAAAATGCTTTTATGTGCTAAATGTTTTATGCCTTATGTGCTGTTAATTGTTCGGATCTATGGTCTGTTGCCGACCGGATCTGGAAACCTTATGTGTTTAGGATTATAAACGTACGACTACGATATTAGAACTAGCATATAAACGTTTCGGAGAGAGAATGATGATTTAAATGTCTATCCTAAATAAAGATCTAAATTCACCTTATTCGGCGTATAGATCAAAATGGCGAGAACCCGAAGTGGAGTCGGGAATGCAAACGGAAATAGGAATCAACCCCCACTGATTCAGCAGATACCTGTTGTAGTAGAAGTTGCACCCGAGCCAATCACCATGGCTGGAGTACAGGCCATGATTCGTGCTATGTTAGCAGAACAAAGGGAGGAAATGAGGCAGATGTTGCACGCAAATAGGGACGAACCTACCATGCCCGTTGAGCAACCCGAGCTGAGTCCCGAGCAATCGGAGGAAGGGAACTATAGCCGCCATGTGAGTCAAGTTGGAGAACGAAGGAATGACCCAGAGAGGGGAAACGACAAGGATGGGCGGATGTATAAGAATTTCTTGGGTGCCAAGCCACCAAGTCTCTCAGGAAGCCCAAAGCCTGTTGAGATTATGGATTGGATCTCTGAAATGGAGATGGTGTTCGAGAGCTGTATCTGTAGTGAGAAACAGAAGACCGTCTTCGCAGTAAGACAACTGAAAACTGGAGTCTTGAGCTGGTGGAAGCTATTGGCGGATACAATGTCGCGAGGAGAAGCCCTAAAGATGTCATGGGATGAGTTCTTGGAACAACTGAAGGCACAATACTGTTCAGAAATAGATCTGATTGATCTGAACAATGAGTTCCAAAACCTGAAGAAAGGGAGAATGAGCGTTGACGACTACGCTACTGCATTCACGGAAAAGATGAAGTTGTTTCCATACCTAGTGCCAACCAAACTCTCCAAAATTAAGAAGTTCGCAAATGGACTGCCAGCCGACTTTGGCCCAACAGTCAAGATGGCAACCACTCTGAAATCAGCTGTTCGAGCAGCTAAGAATGTGGAGACCCAGCAAAAGGAAAGGGGTCTGGAGAGGGCCGAGGTTGGTGAGAAAAGGAAATTCGATGGATCTTTAAGGTCCAACAAGAAAAGTAAATTCTCGAAGTCTGGTTCGAAGGGAGGAGGAGCCAAAGCAAAGTGGTGTGACAAGTGCAAGAAGAAGCACTCCGGAAAATGCGATGGAGAAGTCACCTGCTTTAAGTGTGGAAAGACCGGGCACTATGCCAATGAATGCACCCTCACCAAGAAAGTATGTTATGGGTGTGGCGAGGAAGGGCACATTTCGAGGGATTGCCCGAAGAAGAAGGAGGCGGGAAGACCCAACATTCCACCGAAGCCGAAGGCAAGAG